TGAATAAAATACTTAAATGTAAATATATTGAACTATTTATTTATCCTAAGTCTATGAGTTTTAATGTTTGTTAAATAATTGGTGTCTTTTAAACATATAATTCAATACTTTTACTAAAGCAGTGCTAGAAAGCAACAGATCATGCTATCCAAACTGATCGAATTTCAAGATATGTTTTTTGAAAGCATTTTCGTGAGTTCGATATGAGACCTTATTGCATTACCTTGATTTGGTTTTCAAATGAACTGACTGGAATTTACATTGGCTTGATTTTGACTGTCATAAAATTTGACATCATTAAAATCTTACATAATTTGGACATTCTAAAGGCTGAGCAGTGAAAGCTTTTCGAAGCGAGCTTTTTTTTATTTTAGATTATTCGCAAAAAGGTAACTGAAATTATTAAATGGCTGCAGAAGGCTGCGCTCAAGTTAGATTTCAAGAAGCCATCCATATGCGGCTGAATGTTCACAAATGAATACTGCCGATGCCTTTAAATAACATTGGTATGAATTGCGGTAATGAACGGCAGAATTTTAGTAAAAGTAGTTCATATTTATTTTCCGGCAACTAGTAGTTATGGGCGCCTAACTTTGTTAGAAGCGCAGTGATTTTATTCTATTAAAGTTCCATTGCTATTTAATGCCCAACTACCCGACTATTGATCAGCGTGTTTATGTAGCAATAAAAGAAAATAGAAGAGCTGGAGGCACAAAGTTGTCCGCAACCACAAAGCCACTATGCGAGTAACAACACTCACATACGAGTAACAAATGTATTAAATTAGACATACATATGTATGTACATGCAGTACAGATTAAAAGCAGCACAAGAGTCAACACTTTAGCCGCTCAACAGTTGATCCTCCTGTGGTTAGGAGCACAAAAAACTCCACATATTAACAATTCTCCAGTACAAAAGTTTTGGAGCTGCCAACAAAAACTGAATATAAACAAATAAAAATAGAAAAAGTAAATTCAGATAAATGTGTAAATCTACGGCTTAGAATTTAGTTAGTTACGCGCAAAATATTGGCTTTTTTACCGCTGACAAAGTGAAACAAGTACATGAATTCGCATTTTTCTTCTAATTTTTAGTTCTATTCAATTTATATTGTATGAGAAAATTTTTTTTTAACAATTTGACTTTTGCGTCCATGCTCTTTAATTTAAGCGTTAAATGCCAAGTTCTCTGCTGAAAAGTGGCGGATGCGCTCTCAGCAACCCCGCGCTCGGTGAACGCTCTCCTTGTGGCTGCTAATTTCAGCACACGTTGCTTACCAAATAATTTACCTATCAAATATTTGTACTGTAGCCAACAACGACCAACTGTACGTTGCCCTGTTCGGCGCGTACCCGTTTTTGAATTAACTAATTCGCATAAATTAAAATGCGACTGCCTAGTTTTCCAGCCTACTCGGCCAGACTGCTTTTCACCACACCTGCGTCACACCCCTTCAATTTGCTGTTGTGCTGTGCAATTGCTTCTTGTTCGCATTATTTTCCCATCCACCCGCTGGCGGCGCCTATCTAGTTGAAGCCGCCTACTGATGTAGACGATTCTTTTACCTACGTTTGGAACCATTCGTTTTCGGTCGATTGATTTAAATGAAGAATATTGTTTTTGTTGCCTCTAATTTTGCCAGTGAACATTTGTAATACTAATACCACATGAAAGGTATGAGTTGTTGTTTTGTTGTTATAGGTTTTTACTTCTTTGTAACGGAATTTAATAACCGGGATGCGGTCGGGTATTTAAATTCCACCCCGCTATTCGTACGTAGCTCGGCAATTCATAATACATTCAACTAATTTGAATATCTGAATTAGAGAAGGTTTTCAAAACCAGATGCAGAGATATGCAGTCGGAACTTCTTTAAGATCAGGCACACTCGATATAAGATTGCAAGATTAATTCGATCATGTTAACGAAGTTGATTACCAATTAAGAGGTTTGAATAGTGTAGATTTTAGTTCGAACCGTTAAGAATTAAGTTTGAATGCAAAATATATGAACATGGGAAACTTGGCAGGTATTGACAATACGACAATCGAGAACAGGTTGCAAATTACGGGCTAAGTGTATATTTACATATACACCATTAACTTGCATTTTAGGCAATACGAGTGAAAATTTTTCGCTTCTGCAAGGCCATGAGCAATTTCGTCTTAATAATAAGCACCAAATTGAAAACCTTCTATGGCGCGACATCAATCAAAATCCGATATTCATATCAAGCCAAAGTTAGGTGGACGATTTCGGGTGTTGAGTTTCTTTTTATTGCATGCTCGAAGTAAGCACAAATGCAATAAATCAAAGTCAGGGCAAATAATTTTGCTAATTTTCAAGGGCTCTCTTCTAGGGTACGTACGTGTGCGTGAGGGTGCGTGCGACGCACAGATTTTGTGCCTTTCGGAATTGCGTAGTAAATGAGAACGTGTGTTTGTTAGAGACTGGCAGCGTTTGCCTTTTTTGTGAAAAGATAAAAAATTATATTGCTTATTTGTCGGTTTGGGTTTGATTTGGCAATAAAATACGACTGCATGAAGCAAGAAGGCTCTTGTAATAATTGTGCGAAGAATTGATTGGCTTTGTGCGAAAACGAACTGCCATCTCTGGAATCAATATTTATACTTTGCAATATGTCATTGTTCCGCAGCACACACATGTACACACTTACGTATCGTTTTCCAATTAAAAGTGATGAATGATACGGCAACAACAACGGTCAAACAACAATGTTTTATTATCTTGCCGCAGCATAAGCATTTATTTCATGTGCAACCAAATATTCCTTTTCTCATTTGATTGTTCCAGGACATTAAGTACTCTTCGCATTCAGAGTTTGAAATGATAAAGTGTCTCTTCAGTAGGATTTGTAAAATCTTTATGAAACTATATATTCCGTTTAAAATGAGAAGAAAGGGCGTTGACTTTGTTTATTATTGGTAGCAAGCCAGGTTGTAAATTTTTTATTTCTAAATTAAAAGTTAGATTTTCATTTTTAAACTTGATGTTGGGATTTAAAAATTAAAATTTAATTAATATAAATAAATTAATGTAATTAAATTTTAATTTTTTAATCCAAGCTGTTGGGGATAAAAAATTGAAAATATTCGAATGAACGCGAAAAAATGTTAATTCTAAAACAATTTTTTTTTTAAATCTTATTTATAAGCTTGAAATTAAAAAAAAAATGGTTGTTTTCTTAATTCGGTGGTTTTTAATATTTAATCCAGTTTTTGGGATCAAAAATTATTTTTTTTTTTTAATATCTTATATTATAGTGTTATGGATATAGATACATTATTGAGCAACGGTTCAAGCCACAGGCACCTGATACCTCTCTGCTACATCATGTAAAATTTAAGCCTGACGATTAATTGGATACGGAGTTAAACGATTTTCTGATAAAAAAATTTCGAGTTAAAGTTTTTATTGGACAAAAACAAATTTTTTTTGGTTTATACTCTTCACATTTATATGAACACTATAGAATTTGACGGTTTTTGACTCAAAATTTATTTTAACGCTTGATGAAAGCATGTTGTCGTTTAGGTCTTTTTTTAAACTCCAATAATGACCACAAAAAATTTGTTTAAGTTGATAACTTTTAATTGGGCATAAGGAGGACTCTCCACAGTTTCTTATCACTTACACTTATCAAAAATTTTTTACGAAATAAAAATTTTAACTCGAAACTTTACTTCAAAAGTGAGCCGCCACTAGATGTTGTTGTTATCAAAAATTTTCATTTTTTTAATTTACAGATTTAGCCCTCAGGCTAAGCAAAAAAAATTTTTTTTTTCTCTCCACCCTAATGTACATTTATAACTATGGTATATGCCATATAGCTGTCTAAAACTACCAAAACGGTTATCTACATTTAGTGTGTCATTAAATAGGTGTAGAGAACCTATTGCAGTAGAGCCACCTATAAGGAAGACAGAAATGTTTATTTTCAGTTCTTGGGAAAGTTTGATCAGATGCTTGTTTTCCCAGCCGATTGTTTTTAAAACCGTGATAATTTGTGCTCAAAGACCGGAAACAAGAATCCATCTGAACTTGAGCTCTTGAATGGTAAGTGAATACCAAAAGTAAGACGAATTTAAAAATTTCTAATGATGCTTTTCGCTTTTTTATGTTTCTTCAGTTACTGGGTATATAATTTTGGTAACTGCTTTGTAATGCTAATACTAACATTTGCATAATTTTCAGTTTTCATTTTATTTTTATTATTTTTGCTTCTTTCCTATCGCGCTAAAAAATTCCAATTGTTAAAACTGTAACACATAGATTCAAAGTATAAATTATAAGCGTGAGGGTGTGGAGGTGCTAGTAGATAAAATAAGATAAAGTTAAGTTAAGGCTAAAAGTAAGTATGTGCTTCAATCTTATTTACACTGCTGAATTCGTAGAAAGACTTGAATATCCAAATTTTGCGTTAAAAGGTCTTGAAGCTGCAAAGCTCAAAGGAATGACGCTGTAAAAGTACGCGTGTGTTAGCTTAGTCTCTGATGTTAGTCTGTTCAACGGTATTTGTTGTTGGTCGCTCCTATACTATGCTGTTCACACGGAGGATTTCGAGGGCTGAATTTTGACATTTGTTGTATTCTCAGTTTTCTTTTTTTTGCTTAGTATTTTTGGACGGCATTTATTACACCTGGTGATTCTAAGCTCTTAGGCAGAAATTGGCTCGTTGCGTATATATACTCGTAGTATATACTTGTATCTTATCTCTTTCGCGCCTTTTATACTTCTGAGTGTTGGCCTAGGCTCTCGCTCCCAGGTGTATGCAGACGCTTAAGCGGCTTTATTTTTTCTTCATTTCTACTTCTCATTCTCAGCGCTAGTAATGCAAATTGGTTTCTGTTGTGAATGTGAAATTATGTGGTATATTTTATTAGTTTCGACTAACTATTCAACTAAAAGGCACATCTAAATACTTTTGCTGCATTTGTGCGTCCATTTCAAAAAAATCAACTTGCAGGAAAAATAAAATGCTTTCAATATTTATTGTAGACGAAAATTATATATGCATGTATATATTTATATATAGTTGATAGAATAGTTGAAAATAAACCGAAAAAGCTTACATATGTACTAATGAAGGTGCAAGCGTTGTTCAAAAAGAGCGTTACCGTTACTCGTGCATTTACCAAAAACTATTGTATTATGAACCGTTAAAACCATTCAAACCACTCTAACCATTCATCATAGTCCCCCTTGTTTAAGGTATCAAGCTTTTTGTTCAACGTTTTTAACAATTCCTTCAGTTGTTTGTTTAAATTATTGTCGGGTTGGGAGATCGACGAATCATAAGGACTTATTTGATTATACACGGTAGGTGAAAACAAATGGCCGCCAGCGCGTACGAATTTTGATAAAACGTCAAGAAAATTACTCAAGTCACTCGGATCATTTGGCTGAATTGGGTTACCAATCAAATTATTTGGCATTTCAGTGTTATTTTTGTCGGCAACCAATTGTTCCAAAGCATTGGCTATTGCGAATTCTTTATAATTATTTTGCTGGGTCAGGGCGTTTTTTAAGCTGTTAACAATCGGAGTGTCGTTTAAGTTCTCAGCTAGTGATAAAAGTTTATTAATCGTTTGCTTTAAGTCATCTCTGCGGCTTTCGTAATACTCAAACCGCTTTTTGGCTTCAGTCTTTTCATTGAGCGAGTTTTGTGTTCTATCGTTATTATTCCTGGCGATCTGTACATTATCTATTTCCTTATTGTATTCTATTTCATCCGGTGTGGACGCGAATCCAATTTTCTTATTGATAATTGTGTCCAAATCGGTATTAATTTTATCCAAATCTTTGTCGATATCCTATTTGTGTATATTTTTAAATTTGGTTTTAAGATAGAAGTAAAATCGGTACTCACCTGTGCTTTCACATCTGCCCACAGCAACGCAAGGAATATAGTGCAGACGGTTACTTGCTTCGGTAACATTTTTTCAGCTGAGAAGTTCGGCAGATTTGCGCACATTCGCTTGGCAACTGTTGACTCAGGTATTCTCGCGCTTCTATTTTATACAGAAGCGGCCGTCTCCGCTTAGCGCTAGCTTAGCATATACAATGCTTCAATTATTTAGTGTAGCTGTAATTACGTAGTGCATAGCTTTAGTGATAAGCTTTAAGGTGTTTCGCACACATACACTCGCACTCAGTTTTGATGGTGTACATTTCAGGAGTTATGCACCCGGCACTTATGAGAATTGGGTCGTCCTACCCTGACCGATTTTATTTCACTGTATTTAGCAAGGCTTCATTTTCTTCCAACTACATAGTAGTGGTTTTAGATCAAAAGCGTTCTTATTTGTTTGTGTTTTGTCATGCTTTACTTTGTACTTTGATCTTTGATCTAACAGTAATTTTTACATAAAAGTCTAAGTCTGCTCAATAGTTTAAAAAGTACCGCCACCCTCTCGCTTACAAACGAAATAAAGATTTGAAATTGAATTTGATTACTCATTGTAATTATTTAACACAAGTAAAAGTTATGATCAGAAATCATAATATAATAATATATTAAAAAAATCTGCAGATAATAAATGTTATATAATTAGCATATGAATATAAGGGAAAGTGAGCAGTAATAAAAAATTTGACGTAAGACTCATTTAATACAATAAAATCTGAGAGTAAGTGTAATTTTTAAATTTGAAATGAGCGTTAGTGCCCTTTCGAAAATATATACCTATAGTAAAAGTGTGCATATGTACATAAGTCATAAACTGTGCTTATTTATAAAAACCTAATTATGCTTAACTTAAAAATGCAGCTCCGACAAAGTTCAGTAACTCAATTTAACTGAGTGAGCAATTTATTTTATGCTCCTATTGGCCTACATACTTTTTAATGGCGAAATTTGTATCACTAAAGTTGATGGCTGTAATGGTGAATAGTCGGGTTTTTCCATATTTGAAAATATTTCTCACAGGTTGTCGGCTGGTTCTCAATTTTGTAACTGAAATTTACCCGATAGTCAAAGTCAGATAATTAATAATGTTAGCCTCGAGTTTGTGTAGGGCACCCAGTGACGCCATTGATAAACACATTTTTGGATAATTATTCGACTTTTATAAAATCGCGACTTTCAAATTAACTTAAAAATTTATAAGCGAAATGTTAAAGTACACAAGTTATCCAGCTATAAATTATATTTTACCCTTCGTATTAAATTACGGAATAAAAAAAATTTATTTTAACTAACCTTTAGAAAAAACGACGTGCTGGTAAAAAATTATCATCAACAAACCAAATTTTAAGTCATATTCGTATTTCATCTCTATTGTAATTGTAATTGAAATATTTAATTATGATGGTAGACCAATGTTAATCATTGTTTCACACCAACTGGTTGTACTACGCGTGTGGTGCGTGTAAGCAAGGATTTATTTATATTTTTACACATGTATATTAGGGTGGAGCGTAATTTTTTTTTGTGCTTAACCTGAGGGTAAAACTTGTAGATTATAAAAAAAGAAAATTTTTGGAAATAAAAAAAAATTATTTTAACCCACTCACTTATAAAGTAAATTTCGAATTAAAAAAATTTTTTTTTTTTGGTTTAAACTCTTCACATTTATATAAAAATTACCAAATTTGACGGTTTCTGACTGAAAATTTATTTTAACGCTTAAGAAAAGCATGTTGTCGTTTAAGACTTTTTTTACAACTCCGATAATGACCACAACAATTTCTTTTACCTTAAAAAACTTTAAAAAAATGTTTACGAAATAAAAATTTTAACTCGAAATTTACTTTAAAAGTGAGCCGCTTTTGTTTTTCTTTTTTTATAATTTTCAAATTTTACCCTTAGGTTGAGCAACAAAAAATAATTTTTTTTTCGCTCCACCCTAATGTATATACTGTAAGTACGCAAACCCGAAACGCTTGTTATGGCCGAGTGGACAGACGCTGGCATGTTGGTCAGATGTATCGAGTTCCAATCTGGGCTGGCTCAGGTAGTCTTTAGAAAAATTATTTAATTGCTGTTGATGTTGTAATAGCTAGAGTAGGCAGACATATCCAGTAGAAGCAACAACAACAACAAGGCTGAAATGCGACATCTGACATGCGACACGCAACAAATGGACGAACAAATTTGGAACGATCGAGAGTCTCATTTTAAAATAAGTGTAATGTATTTATTTAATCGAAAAGCATGCCAAACAGTTACTTATTGGTATATAGTGCATACTGCATGGCTTGAACGCTTAGTGCCCTACTGAGAAATATTCTAAAGTAACTGTATGATGATTTCTCATAAATAATTGAGCAATTTTACCCTGCGCCTGTAATTTTCAATTTGCTATGCTTCATATTTGGGCACATATGCATACGAACACGCACATGTGTATGTGTATGCTTGTGAGAAAGTGAATTTAGTGGCAAATAAATATTGTGTGTCTTGCGTTGGCTTTATGTTAGCGCTGCTGAATGATTTATGACACTTACAAATTGCTTTAATTTTCCTTTTTTATACCCAGTTTAATGGCTTCCCGGTGCCTTCGTTGTGCCTCGGGTGTTGTGTTTGCATGCATTACTGTGCTCGTTTTCGTTATTGTTACATCATAACGATGTTGCATGCAACAAACTTGTGGCAACCATCATTGATGTGATTAAAAATTATTGCTGCCGCAACACAAGCATGCCGCATGTGTGCAGGTGTGTGTATGTAGCGTACATATGGGCGCGGCTTCCCACGCCATCGACATCATCGCGCTGCGGTGGCTATGAATAACTAAAAAACGTGCCGGCAACAAAGAGCCGGGCGTTGAAGCACAAAAGGATTGGACAGACAACAGATTGGTGCAAGTTGAACTGTTTTGTTGTTATTTTTTACTTTTTATTTTTCATTTTTTATTTAATTTTTCCCCGTTATCCGATGTTGTTTCATAAATCAAATTTATTGTGTACGGAGCAGCGAGAGGTAATATGTGGTGAGCTGAATTTGCCTAGCAGGATGCCGAATGCCGGCAGGAGCAGCAGGCTGCTCTTCATATATGCATTGAATGGTTGATGTTGTTGCAATTGTGTTGAAAAATGTACTAAATAAATCGTACTTCATTGCAGTTGGTCAACTCTGACAAAACAGGAAAACATTCGCACACACACATATGCAGTTGAGAATAAACTTATAGATTGATGTGTACTTTTCGTGCGCTCGGATAGCCGTCGCAAAAGAGTGCTTAGGTGATTTGTTTAACGGATTGCCTTTTGCAAATAGTTTGGTTTGCAAGAAGCAAGGAAAAAGTACAAAGAGCTAAAAGAGAGGACGAATTGTGGCGACCTTTTCTGCTGAGGGGAAACGTATTCAGCGCGAAATGATAAGCACTTGTGCATAAGGACGTTGGTGTTGCGTAAATGAAAACCATTTTGTTCATCTAGTTTTAAGTACATTTTGTTACATTAACTCTCATAATTTTTTGAGGAACTATGTATAAATGGACTTTCATTTTTGAGGAACTTTGTGCAAATAGACTCTAATTAGGCCGTTAAAACTGCTTAAACAATTCTACACTCAATTATTTTCATTTTATCATACAATATACCTTCTGCTCAACGCAAAACGAGACTTTATCCATAACTCGACAAGGACATGACATATGGCCATACTTTTGTTTGCTTAGGTTGGCAGGACTGTTATATGTTTACATGTCAAATTTGAGAGCGATCTGTCACATAGGATTTTTTTTTAAGGCACTATAAACAAGTCAACTTCGAGTGTGTTTTTCGAATTTTACTATGGAAATTAACGTTGAGCAAAAAGTGTTTGTTTGAAATTTTGTTATTCCAATGGAATAAGTGCGACGGACGCAATAAAAATGTTGCAGAAGGCATATGGGGAGTCTTGCCTATCACGTGCACGTATTTTTGATTGGTATAAGTCGTTCAAGGACGGCCGTACATCGCTGAAGAACTTGCCCCATGATCGTCGTCCAGCAACGTCAATAAACGAAGAAAACGTCGAAAAAGTAAAGAAAATTGTGTTGGAAAATCGTCGTGTGACTGAAAGAGAGATAGCTAGTGAGCTCAACATATTAAATGGATCCGCTCATAGCATTATTCACGATGTTTTGGGCATGAGACGTGTGTCTGCTCGACTTGTTCCAAAATCCAGCTCATACGTCTCGTCTTGTACGCGATTATTTGACCAAAAACAACGTAAATATTGTTCCGCAAGCACCGTATTTACCCGACATGGCACCGTGTGACTTTTTTCTTTTCCCTAAACTCAAATTGCCGCTTCGTGGAAAGCATTTTCAGTCGATTGAAGTCATAAAAGAGAATTCGAAGAAGGAACTGAAAGCCATAACTAAAGCGGCCTACCAGAAGTGTTAGGAAGATTGGAAAAAAAGGTGGCATATGTGTATCGCCTCTAATGGTGACTATTTTGAAGGGGATAAAACAAATATTGAAGAATAATTAACCGTTTTTGTTGTTTGAGCCAGTCTCGTTTATTTTTGAGCAGAAGGTATCAATAAGCTCATTAGTAACCAATAGAAAATTGACTTACATGCGTCCTCAACGGGTAAAGAAAGAGGGTTGGTTATTGACACATTTAAATTAAAACAAGAAAAAGCGTTAACTTCGGTTGCACCAAAGCTTATTATACTTGATGACTTGAATTAAATAATATTCCATTTCCAATTTCGTGAAGATACCTTGTAAAATAAAAGTGTTTTCCATACAAGCACATGATTCTGATCGTTCAGTTAGTATACCAGCTATATGCTATAGTGGTCCGATATCGGCCGTTCCGACAAATGAGCAGCTTTTTAGTGAGAAAAGGACAGGTGCAAAATTTCACAGACAGACGGACATGGCTAAATCAATTCACCTCATCATGTTAATCATTGTATATATTTTATAGGGTCTCCGACGTTTCCTTTTGGGTGTTACAAACTTCGTGGCAAACTTAATATACCCTGTTCAGGGTATAAATATGGCTATGATATACATTAACTATTATTTTAATA